AAGTTGTGTGTTCAATCTCCTACTTTCTCTTTCTCTACCTCCAATTCAAGTGTGTAGTTCTTGCCTCCCATTTCAAGACAGGTTTCTTCTCAACTAGCTGTATTTTAGAGAAGATGTGACCCTTCCCTGGTCCACTCTACAGAAGAATAGCTATTACTCATCTGGTCCTTCCCTAGCAAATGTTCCAGAGGCACTGATTTCAAATGATGGCTGGAGGGACAGGATGGAGTAGAAGTGGTGTCCTGATGGGCCCATGGAGTGCTCCTCAAACTCCTAAATGCAGGCAAAGGAGACCAAGGCAGGCATCTCTCCAAGGGGCAATATGGACCTCCTTCCTTACCTTCCTCCTGCCCTGATAGCAGGCATTTGCATCTCTGTAGTATCATTTCTGTGGAAATATTTTAATTTTGTATGCATTCTAATGTTCATTTTGTTGTGTTTTAATACAATTTATAATCTACCATGAGAATTATTCTTAAAACAGACACTTCTTTTTCTTTGTTTTGCAATTGGAACCCAGCTTTCAAGTCATCTGGTGAACTCTACTGTAAAAATGATAGAAATAGTTTATAATCCCTATTAGTATTTATAAATAATATTTTAGCTATTCACATAACAACAACCAAGGTATCAAAATTAGACTTGACAAATGTACATTACTCAGTGAGCACATACGGAATTCAATTCCTATGATTTCTGCAAAGGTTAGTATTTCTCAGCTTTGTGGCCATCCGGTCATTCCTCTCCACTTCTCCATTTCTCCAGAGGGCATATCTTGATGAAGGCTTTCACTTCATGGCTGTGTAGAACTTAAGAGGTGGTAGAATTCACTCCTATCAAACTTTCTTCCAAGCATCCTTTGGCTCAGATCTTCAGAACTGGGGGCATTGACTGCTTCTGCCTGAGCCAACATAAATCTCACTTCCGAGCAGTAGTTCTAACCCCATTCCTCCTTTATGATTTATGTCTGGTCACATCATCCCAATGGTGCTGTCATAATTGTATTATGTTCCACTCTGTGATATATATCAGATGAAAAATAACTCTGTAAAGATTGGTAAAAATCAGGAAACATGAAATCCTTTTCTTGTAATGTTGCCAGCAGCCCATAGCACTCAGTGGATTTTTCCTGAAGTGGCTGTCTATTCTGTGACTCCCCAGTAGAATTTTTCACCGTGCAGCTCAATTTTGGATGGATGAGATAACTAGGAAGAAGTAAGGCACTACCCAGAGTAACTACAGGGGGCCAGCAGTTGGGGTAGGAGCCACATTTTCTAGGGGAATATCTGAGGAAATGTGAAGGAGTGTTTCTATCAAAGAACATGCAGGAGAAGTTTACAAGATGTAGTAATTAAAAGCATTCCTTATTCTTGTAGGATTCAGGCTCTCTCCTACCTAAAGAAGAATAGAGCTAGCTCAATAAAAATAGAATAATTACTTTCGTGTTGGTTTTCATTTTTATTCTAGATACAGTAGACACACATCACTGGTCAAACACATGAAGCATTTCGTGTCTGAGAATGAGATAGCACCTCTCATGGGATCATGTTTTAACATCCAGTAGACCAGTAACTAGACTAGATTTTAGGAAAACCATTCCTGGGAGAAGGTGTTCTTTCAATGGCAAGATTGTTCAACTCTTTTTTGGAGGGTGGGGAGACCTGTGAATGCTTACAATTTTTATAAACTCAATCATTGTTATTTTGTAGAATCCCTCATTTTGTCATCATTTTTAAAGCTTTTATGACAGAATTGCTGGTTTGAAGATGAACTTTTTGTCAGATTGGTTGTCTGGTGTCAGGACAAAGCAAAACAAATGTGTGCACATGTAAACATATGCATATGTGCACACATGTTAGAACATAACTACAACACACAAACTGAATTTTATAAAACTGGCTTTACACAGAGCCGTATGAACTCTTTCAAAACACTGGTGTAATTTCACATGAATATGAGTAAGAGTGAGCATATGTTTTACCTGAGAGAGATGCTCTATCCTGTACATGGGTGAAGAAAATTGTCTCTGTGCTCTCAACAAAGATGAGGAATGATACTGCACATCTTATATCAACCGTCTCTCTCATTCTTTACGAGAACTGTTTCAGTCTTTCTCCGTTCTTCTGAAACCCCTGATCTTTCCTCCCTTGTCCTCTCTTATGAGATGACTTCTACCCAGAGAAAATAGAAGCTATCAGAAGATAACTTGCTCAACTTCTACCACCAAATCCCTTAATTTCCCTGATCATCTGCCACCACCTAACCCCACGCCATATTTTAATGTATTCCCTCCATTACATCTCCATGTACATCTCCACTTTGATATTTAACAGACATGTAAATCAGTATTTCCAAACTATTTACTTGAGCGTATTCATAATGCTGATGTGAAGAAGGAGACAGAGAGGTGGCATTTGAAGATAGAGAAGACAAAACTGTTCCAGACACTAGGTCAGTGGTCCTCAACTCCAGAGTTTGAATATGATAAGAATTCAATTATAAATTATAAATCCACAAGGCTAGGTTACATCTCCAGATATTCTGTTATGGTAGTTCTAGGATGCAGCCTGGGAATCTGCATCTTAATATCCCAGGTGATTTTGATGCAGGGATCAGAAACACACTTTGAAAATCTTTTTCATAGCTAATGGCTATGATAGGGTTCCTAATATTATGCTGCCAACTTTGTTCTCATTACTCAAGGACAAGGCAGGACTAAGTCCTTTCATATCTACAACTCGATAAAAGGCTGAGAAACTTTAATTGTATTTCAGTTCCACTTGAAATCAGATTTTTTTTCACTTTTCCCTTTAGGCTAGTTATAGCACAAGAGACATTTGATGTTGAACTCATCTATTCTATTTAAACAAAGTAGCTCTAAGAAAGGCTTGCTATCATTGATATCACATAAAAGGAAAGACTGACAATAATTTGTAATTTTCTCAGTTCTTCATTTATTTCTCCCCATCTTATAAACTGCTTCTCCAACCTTGTAAGCTGCTTCTTTCTTTCTTATGGAAATTCTTCGCCATCCCCCACTATTTTAATCTTCTACATCCTAAATCTTTCAGGGACCTGCAAATCTTTTTTCCATGTTAATCTTTACTAACAGGTCTGTCTCAATAGCATTGTCACAGTAGATACACTTATCATGCTATTGAACATTGTAGATTCCTCTTTTTGGTAAGAGGGTCAGTTCCTCAGTTGAGAAACCCCAAACTCATTCAAACATACACTATGCCATTCCTAAAACAAGGAACCATCTTTAGATGAGAAATATTTTAAAAAATCAACTAGGATAAAAACAGTATGCCCATTCTATTTCTTAATTCCAAGGTGACCCCTTCGGTGTTGCCTTTCACAATGTTAGATTCAGTTCTCTAAGAAGGCAGAGAGTAAAGTGCTCGCCTTTCAGTATAGAAACTTTTCTAAGTCACTGCAGTGTCACTTAGTAAGCTACTTTTAGTAAAATACAAAATGAACATCTTGCAGTCAGAAAGTTAATATATCTCTAAAAAAATATGTTAGCACCATTCTCTATTAATAAATCACTGCAAGAATAAGTTTAAAGTATCCCAATTCATAATATTAAGTATGTTCCCAATGATAATTTCATTTCAAAATCTGAGGAACTCTCATTTCATTCAGAGAAACAAAATTTATAGTTATTTCAAGGTTGTCACTGTCCACTTGTCAACTTGGTTAATTATGGTAACTTGACCGCTTAAAAAATTGTCTATTTTAACATGCTTATTGAAGACATGATTGGTTTCTATTACTATTTCAGAAACCACACAAAATGTAACTGTGATTTGAATGATCTAAAAGCCTAAAGTAACTTCTACCCAAAGTTGATTCCCAAACTATTTATTACATCATGGAAGAATGTACTTGAGTTGACTTAAAAAATAAATAACATTTCTTTATATCCCTAAGTGAAAGTCAAATGCATATTGGTAAGACGAATTGCTGAAAATACTAGAAATATATGCTGGTCACAAAAGGTTTGATGGAGGGCAAAAGCTGTAAAAACTAACAATTCCTCTACTACAAATATTCAGTAAGAATTCTAGACACCTTAGAATTGTTGTAAAAATAGGTGAGTCATTTTCTACGGACTGTGTATAGCTTACTGTTGCCCTAGGCGTAACAAGGGAAAATCTGGGGTGCTAGGCACTGTGTGGGTGATCACACAAATTACTATGTTGTGATCTGCTCAGTCTGTTTATCATCGTATATAGAGTATCTTAAGTTTGCTTTTCTAATTGCTGTTTGACCTAGTGATAAGCTTATGACCCATGTGTTATCGACTTCCTCCTGGGGCCAGTGACAAATAGGGGAAAGAGTTATTCAAGTCAATGGATATTTACCTAACAGAAGACAGAAAGGTGAACGTATTACATTACCTGGATGGCCATATTACTAGGCAAGAAGAACAGCATGGTTATTGTTGCACAGCAGTCCCTGCTACCATAGTAAGTGTACTCAGATTTCTGCCCTCAGGAGCTTGAAATATTCAACAAGCATTTAAAAAAATTATACAGGGTTAACTATAACATAACAGGTTAAAATAAGTGTGAAATAAGAATTGTATGAAATGTTATGGATAAAAGGGAAAAATGCTTCAATGGGATATAACTGGTCATCATTTGAGGAACAGATAGAACATCCAGGAATAGAAGCTCAACAGGGTGTGAGAACTGTGGATTTAGGTAAAGGAGGAAATTCCTGATGAAAAGAATATTAGAATATTTGATAAATAGAACTTTTCTGAATTACCCCCACTTATGTCCACCCAAAGTAAAGTGGCTGAGTTGCCTCCATACCACCAAGTGTGTTCTATTTTGGCAGATAATGGTGAAGGGGAAAAAAATGGTGAACCTAAACCCTTCACAAGCCTTAATGCCTCCTAAGAACAGGCAATTCTCTTTATCAGGTATCTTTGTTCATATTACTGAATAAGGTCTTTGTTTTTTGTTTCTGCTTCTTGCCCCTTTCAGGGTGCTTTTCGAGAAATAATGATCACATTTTGGCAATTCAGCAGAAGAATGGGAAGCCAGCATTCATTTATCACCATTCACAAGACATTGAGAAGAGCCTGGATATAGCTCCACAAAAGACGTACAAACATAGCTTTCACTCCCCTTCTGAGGCTCACATAAGCAAACACCACCAAATTGTTGACTCAGCATTTCCTAGGCCTGCATATGACCCGTCTCTCAATCTGTTGGCCATGGCCGGTCAAGATCTTGAAGTGGAAAACCTTCCAATCCCAGCAGCAAATGTAATTGTGGTGGTAAGTATTGCACTTAACTAATGTTGATACTGATGCTGGTACTGTCCTCTGTGGTTGATGCTTGGTAGGAAAAAAAGAAAACGCAACTAATTGAATAGCTACCATTGGATCCCAATGATTATTTACCATCACACTCTCATTCTCTGATACTTCTTTTTTGTTACTTGATTATTGTATGTGGACTTCCCATTGAAAGCCCATGAAATAAGAAACCTTGTCTTATCCTCCACGCACAGTACAGTACATGGTGAATAGCAGCTGCTTAATAAATATTTGAAATCAAAATTCCTTTAGGAAGGCCTGTAGTTGTAGCAGATCATATCCTGTACTGTGCCTCCTGCCTTCTTTGATAATCTGTCCTAAGCAGATAGGACTTGGTCTCAGCTTATGAAAATAAATAATACTTACTGAAGATCTTCTGATCACTTGAACTCAAATCGTGAGAAATGAAGAGAGCACTGAAAGGGAGGAGGTATTATAAGGGGTCACTGGAGTAAATTAGATGGTCTGGGAGTAATTGATGGATAATATTCCTAGTAACACTGAACAAGCATCACCCTTTATTAGTCAAGATGACGCAGTGGTCCCATTGCTTATATTTTGGGGTACATATCCTAGGCCAGAGGTTCCCAATTTGTGGAGGTATCGTAGTTTAAATATGTGCCGACATTTATAATAGTACCTCTCAGGTTTAAAATCACAACAAGAGAATCTACATTAGAACTACAGATCAGCAGCTAAATGGTTGTGATTGCATTCCAGCCCAAAAATATAATCAAATATGTTGACTGTTAAGTCCAACATAATACTCACTTCTGCCACCCTAATCTACAAACTGTCTAAATGCAAAACATCTGGCATGGGCTAAAATATCCCATTCCTGGTGCTAAAGCCACTGCATGCCCAGACACACCCTGAGAACTCCGTGCACTGCACAGTCTGTGTACTACAGTTCGAAGACCTTGTCTGTGTACCTTTGTTGGGGGATATGTGGCAGGCGATGGGGCATGCATCATGAAATCAGGGTCCACACATGCATACTGAGAATCTAGCATCCAGTCTCCCTTGGTGTTAAATTCTCCTGCCTCAGCCATAAATTCCTACTGGGTGCAGGGTTCATGCCTCTAGTCCAGGCCTGTCCACTGCTGGAAGTGAAAGTGCCTCTAGGCCCTGAACTTTACCCCACAGCACCAGCTGCCACGGCTGGCAGTCTGCCCACCCCAGCCTTTGATGTCTTGAAGTTGGCCCTTTGAAGTTGTGTGTTCAATCTCCTACTTTCTCTTTCTCTACCTCCAATTCAAGTGTGTAGTTCTTGCCTCCCATTTCAAGACAGGTTTCTTCTCAACTAGCTGTATTTTAGAGAAGATGTGACCCTTCCCTGGTCCACTCTACAGAAGAATAGCTATTACTCATCTGGTCCTTCCCTAGCAAATGTTCCAGAGGCACTGATTTCAAATGATGGCTGGAGGGACAGGATGGAGTAGAAGTGGTGTCCTGATGGGCCCATGGAGTGCTCCTCAAACTCCTAAATGCAGGCAAAGGAGACCAAGGCAGGCATCTCTCCAAGGGGCAATATGGACCTCCTTCCTTACCTTCCTCCTGCCCTGATAGCAGGCATTTGCATCTCTGTAGTATCATTTCTGTGGAAATATTTTAATTTTGTATGCATTCTAATGTTCATTTTGTTGTGTTTTAATACAATTTATAATCTACCATGAGAATTATTCTTAAAACAGACACTTCTTTTTCTTTGTTTTGCAATTGGAACCCAGCTTTCAAGTCATCTGGTGAACTCTACTGTAAAAATGATAGAAATAGTTTATAATCCCTATTAGTATTTATAAATAATATTTTAGCTATTCACATAACAACAACCAAGGTATCAAAATTAGACTTGACAAATGTACATTACTCAGTGAGCACATACGGAATTCAATTCCTATGATTTCTGCAAAGGTTAGTATTTCTCAGCTTTGTGGCCATCCGGTCATTCCTCTCCACTTCTCCATTTCTCCAGAGGGCATATCTTGATGAAGGCTTTCACTTCATGGCTGTGTAGAACTTAAGAGGTGGTAGAATTCACTCCTATCAAACTTTCTTCCAAGCATCCTTTGGCTCAGATCTTCAGAACTGGGGGCATTGACTGCTTCTGCCTGAGCCAACATAAATCTCACTTCCGAGCAGTAGTTCTAACCCCATTCCTCCTTTATGATTTATGTCTGGTCACATCATCCCAATGGTGCTGTCATAATTGTATTATGTTCCACTCTGTGATATATATCAGATGAAAAATAACTCTGTAAAGATTGGTAAAAATCAGGAAACATGAAATCCTTTTCTTGTAATGTTGCCAGCAGCCCATAGCACTCAGTGGATTTTTCCTGAAGTGGCTGTCTATTCTGTGACTCCCCAGTAGAATTTTTCACCGTGCAGCTCAATTTTGGATGGATGAGATAACTAGGAAGAAGTAAGGCACTACCCAGAGTAACTACAGGGGGCCAGCAGTTGGGGTAGGAGCCACATTTTCTAGGGGAATATCTGAGGAAATGTGAAGGAGTGTTTCTATCAAAGAACATGCAGGAGAAGTTTACAAGATGTAGTAATTAAAAGCATTCCTTATTCTTGTAGGATTCAGGCTCTCTCCTACCTAAAGAAGAATAGAGCTAGCTCAATAAAAATAGAATAATTACTTTCGTGTTGGTTTTCATTTTTATTCTAGATACAGTAGACACACATCACTGGTCAAACACATGAAGCATTTCGTGTCTGAGAATGAGATAGCACCTCTCATGGGATCATGTTTTAACATCCAGTAGACCAGTAACTAGACTAGATTTTAGGAAAACCATTCCTGGGAGAAGGTGTTCTTTCAATGGCAAGATTGTTCAACTCTTTTTTGGAGGGTGGGGAGACCTGTGAATGCTTACAATTTTTATAAACTCAATCATTGTTATTTTGTAGAATCCCTCATTTTGTCATCATTTTTAAAGCTTTTATGACAGAATTGCTGGTTTGAAGATGAACTTTTTGTCAGATTGGTTGTCTGGTGTCAGGACAAAGCAAAACAAATGTGTGCACATGTAAACATATGCATATGTGCACACATGTTAGAACATAACTACAACACACAAACTGAATTTTATAAAACTGGCTTTACACAGAGCCGTATGAACTCTTTCAAAACACTGGTGTAATTTCACATGAATATGAGTAAGAGTGAGCATATGTTTTACCTGAGAGAGATGCTCTATCCTGTACATGGGTGAAGAAAATTGTCTCTGTGCTCTCAACAAAGATGAGGAATGATACTGCACATCTTATATCAACCGTCTCTCTCATTCTTTACGAGAACTGTTTCAGTCTTTCTCCGTTCTTCTGAAACCCCTGATCTTTCCTCCCTTGTCCTCTCTTATGAGATGACTTCTACCCAGAGAAAATAGAAGCTATCAGAAGATAACTTGCTCAACTTCTACCACCAAATCCCTTAATTTCCCTGATCATCTGCCACCACCTAACCCCACGCCATATTTTAATGTATTCCCTCCATTACATCTCCATGTACATCTCCACTTTGATATTTAACAGACATGTAAATCAGTATTTCCAAACTATTTACTTGAGCGTATTCATAATGCTGATGTGAAGAAGGAGACAGAGAGGTGGCATTTGAAGATAGAGAAGACAAAACTGTTCCAGACACTAGGTCAGTGGTCCTCAACTCCAGAGTTTGAATATGATAAGAATTCAATTATAAATTATAAATCCACAAGGCTAGGTTACATCTCCAGATATTCTGTTATGGTAGTTCTAGGATGCAGCCTGGGAATCTGCATCTTAATATCCCAGGTGATTTTGATGCAGGGATCAGAAACACACTTTGAAAATCTTTTTCATAGCTAATGGCTATGATAGGGTTCCTAATATTATGCTGCCAACTTTGTTCTCATTACTCAAGGACAAGGCAGGACTAAGTCCTTTCATATCTACAACTCGATAAAAGGCTGAGAAACTTTAATTGTATTTCAGTTCCACTTGAAATCAGATTTTTTTTCACTTTTCCCTTTAGGCTAGTTATAGCACAAGAGACATTTGATGTTGAACTCATCTATTCTATTTAAACAAAGTAGCTCTAAGAAAGGCTTGCTATCATTGATATCACATAAAAGGAAAGACTGACAATAATTTGTAATTTTCTCAGTTCTTCATTTATTTCTCCCCATCTTATAAACTGCTTCTCCAACCTTGTAAGCTGCTTCTTTCTTTCTTATGGAAATTCTTCGCCATCCCCCACTATTTTAATCTTCTACATCCTAAATCTTTCAGGGACCTGCAAATCTTTTTTCCATGTTAATCTTTACTAACAGGTCTGTCTCAATAGCATTGTCACAGTAGATACACTTATCATGCTATTGAACATTGTAGATTCCTCTTTTTGGTAAGAGGGTCAGTTCCTCAGTTGAGAAACCCCAAACTCATTCAAACATACACTATGCCATTCCTAAAACAAGGAACCATCTTTAGATGAGAAATATTTTAAAAAATCAACTAGGATAAAAACAGTATGCCCATTCTATTTCTTAATTCCAAGGTGACCCCTTCGGTGTTGCCTTTCACAATGTTAGATTCAGTTCTCTAAGAAGGCAGAGAGTAAAGTGCTCGCCTTTCAGTATAGAAACTTTTCTAAGTCACTGCAGTGTCACTTAGTAAGCTACTTTTAGTAAAATACAAAATGAACATCTTGCAGTCAGAAAGTTAATATATCTCTAAAAAAATATGTTAGCACCATTCTCTATTAATAAATCACTGCAAGAATAAGTTTAAAGTATCCCAATTCATAATATTAAGTATGTTCCCAATGATAATTTCATTTCAAAATCTGAGGAACTCTCATTTCATTCAGAGAAACAAAATTTATAGTTATTTCAAGGTTGTCACTGTCCACTTGTCAACTTGGTTAATTATGGTAACTTGACCGCTTAAAAAATTGTCTATTTTAACATGCTTATTGAAGACATGATTGG